GATTCTACCTCCTCAAGGCTCCATAACAATCCCAAACAGTGCCACCAACTTGGGAAACAAACACTCAAATGCATAAATCTAGAAGGGACATTTTGTATTCAAACCACATTTGGTCTTTGACCCCATACTATGCTGATGGCCAACTCAAAAATGCAAAATGTATTCAACTGAGCTCAAAAGTTCCCATAGACATTAACATTCCTGACACTGTTCAAAAGCCCAAATTGTCTTTTGAAACACAACCCCCTAACTGTGGGTTAAATTGCATACATAAACAAGTTACATACTTCCAATATATAATTGGAAGAGTAGACATCCCCATTGCAAAAAAGAGGAAGAGAAACATATCAGAAAAAAATGGACCAAAGGAAGAATAAAACCCATCATGGTAAACAATCCTGAAGTACCAAATCAAGCATCTTGGACCCCTGATAGATTCTTCTGCTCTCCAGAGGGTTTGGCTAGCCTGGTCTCCAGATCTGTTATGCATAGGCTCTTTCTTGCACAGGCTGGCTCCTTCTTTGGCAGATATCTGGTAGCCCTGGCATTCCCAGCACTCTGGGCCCTCCACTGCAACTGAGATTGATAAAATCTCAGCTTCATGAAATGGCCTTTCAGGGCCTCTTACAGAGGCTCTAGCATTGCCACACATTGCCTCATCTCCACAACTCCCTGTAACTTTGGAATAAGACTTCATGATCCCTCAGTCTTGAATCTTTGATGCTAGAGTTAATCCCACCAGTCAAGAATAAGACTACTGGAGTGGGAGAGATGGCTCAGTGGTTAAGAGCACTGGCTGTTCTTCCAGAAGTCCCAAGTTCAATTCCCAGCACCCACATAGTGGCTCACAACTGTCTATAACCATAGCACCACACTTCTATCGTGCAGATGTGCATGCAAACAAAACACCAATATACATAAATAAATAAACTTTTAAAATCAAGCCAAAAAGAATAAGACTACTACTACAATTAACAACTTAAAGCAAGCTTTAATTAAATACTGGCTAAGTGAATGGACTCTGGCCAGGTCCATCTCTGAATTCCCAGAAAAACGGCTATGACTCTTGCTTTGCAGGGGCTTAAGAATGTAAAACCCATATTTCACCACATTTCCAATCAGGTCCAATCACAGGCAAGCATATATCCTCAGTATTTCCTGCCCACTTATTTCCTGCCCACATGTGATTAAACATATCTAGTACAGTGGGTCAAACAAATGAAATACATATACAGGAATTTATTCTTAAGTACAAACAGAAGTCTTAACCTACAAGGTATATTTTTCCTGTTTTGGTCTCACACTAGCAACCATTAGTACCATTGAGACCATGCTGCAAAGTTCTTCTGCCAGCCTGGTTAAGTCTGCTACTGAAACATACCTGTCGTTTCCTGGGCATACCCTGGTGGATTAGTCTGTAGTATCACTATCCTGGACAATTGATTCTAGCAAACAACCTATTTTATGCCATTCTCAATCAGTCTGCTTTCTCCTGTCAAATAAACTTGCATTTTTACAACTTGAAGCCTTTGATGGATGGGATATTGTCTTCAAGTACCTTCTTTATTGACGACAATGAGGTTACTCTTTAACAATTATGAATGCTTTTTCCTGTTCCTAGTCCACAATTTAAAACTTGCTCACACAACTTTCCTTGCTAAACTTCACATATTTCATCTTTTTGCTTTCACTATCAATCTGAATCAGTACACTAAGAAGTAACCATGTTATGAACTGAATGCTATGCTGCCTTGAAATTTCTTCTACCAATGAAACTATTACTCTTTAGTTCAGCCTCACACAAGTTCTCACCCCATGGACAGAATACTGCCAAATTTCTTAACTCAGATGCAATTATAGCAAGCCCAATTCTAGATCTCACTAACCCAGGCCTCCACTATTTGCATAACACTTATCATTCTAGTCTTCTGAACTCCCATCAGAATGGCCCATTAAGCTCCTCTCACAGCATTCTAGGGGTTTTCTAGCCCAAAGTTCCATTTTCTTCCTCATGTAAACCAGTCCCTAAAAACTACATGATTAGGTTTATAAAAGCATCAGCCCTACGTGCCAGTATCAATTTTCTGGGTTTGTTGCCTTTCTCACTGCTTTAACCAAATATCTGAAAAGAAACTATTTAAGGGAAGATGTGTGTTTATTCTAGCTAACAGTTTCAGGGCATCATTCCATCACAACAAAGGAGGCATGTCAGCAGGAAGAGAGGCACAGCAAAAGGACTAGAGCAGCTCACATTGTGTTAGCAATAAGGAAACAGAAAAAGAACAGGAAATAGAGCCAGGCTATAAATACACCAGGCCTGCCCCTAAAAGACACACTTCCTCTGGCAAGTCTCCACTTCCCAGAGTCTTCATACTTTCTCCAAACAATGCCACCAACTTGAAACTAAATTTTCAAATAAATCCTCATTCTTTTTATGAGGATATATCTCATTGAAAGAACAATACCACTGACTGATAGCTTGATATTTGATAAATACGGGACTGAGCATTGACAATGTTGTGAAAAGCACAAAAAAAGACATTTTTGATAAACTATGGAAGCTTACAGTCTCAGTAATCAATATAGACATCATGCCTACACACACACACACACAGAGAGAGAGAGAGAGAGAGAGAGAGAGAGATACACAGACACATACATACACACACGACTTTGTGTGCCTCTGCATACATGCTGTTGTTGTTTAGCTTAGCATGTTTATGGGATTCCTAATAGTGGGGGTGTCTATGAATCTCTTGCCTGTTCTTAGGACACTTTTCCTCCCAATGGGTTACCTCATCCAGCCTTGATATGAGGGTTTGTGCCTAGTCTTCTTGTATCTTGTTATGTAGTCTTTAGCTGACAACACTAGGAAGCCTATTCTTCTCTGAAGAGAAATAGATCTGATGGAGAAAGGAAGTAGTGGGGGATGGCTGAGAGGAGTGGTGGGAGAAGAGGAAGTGGTCATGATATATTATAGGACAGAAGAATAAACAAGAAGGAAGGAAAGAAGGAAGGAAGGAAGGAAGGAAGGAAGGAAGGAAGGAAGGAAGGAAAGAAGGAATAGAGACAGACAGAGACAGAGAGAGACAGACAGACATTTGTGCATATGTGGCCATGAGTTTACCCACTTGGAAGCAGTCTTGCATGTGAGAACATATTTCACATGAGGAATCACCAATTTAGTGCTAGAAGAATTTTTTAACTTCTATTATATCATAATAAATACTGTTTTGAAAATTAATGTATCAATAATTGACATATAATGTAAGCATACAGTAAAATATTTGTATAGACTAAACTCTCTACATAATTTAGGAGGCTTGGTGAAAAATGAAAAATAACAAAAAAATCTTCTGTTCAGAAATGTTAAGCATTTCAAGACAAAGATAGTAGGATCCACAAAGTAAGCTCAGAAACCCATAGGATTACACATCTCACACACCTATGAAACTTTCATGTCTTGCACGTTTATTGTATATGTAAGTTTTATTTGGTTACTTAACTTACCTCAGGCTCATTACAGCTATTAACACAGAAAAAGAAAAGACTTTTAGTTCCTTCCCATAACTACCATCTGTGGCTTTCTGTGGAAAAGCAAGATAACTCATCTGAAGAGAGATCTTTTATCCTTTTGTAAAACCATTAAAATTCTAACAGTGATTCAAAGTTGCTGTTAGAAACTCATACACAGTATTTCAATATCAACCATACTGACTTTTTTATTTCTATACACCTCCTTAATCTTGCCTAAGAGAAAAAACTCTCCAATGTAGTGTTCCAAGTTTACTATTTTCCCATGTATGCCACTTAAATCTAAAATTCCCAACTGAGATCTCTATGTCTAGTAAGTAATTTTCCCACAGTAAAATGTCTCCTTGCACAAATTAGATATTTTCTTTTTCCTATCCCTGAAAAATTATCTATTCAGAATCAACTTCCACATATGGTACAGCATCTGGGTCCGATCCAGTAAAGGAGGCAAAATGTCATGTTGGAAGTGAATTAACCCTTCCATTCCACCAGTCCTGTGCCTACTACACTGTAGCTGTAACTGTCTAAATGGGGAGGTTACTCTGGAGTCTCTGGATAGTGTTCCAGGAGTTAAATAACATAAGTGTATACAAAAACATATCTTTATTTTCATCAACCTCTGACCTAAATAATTATGAACACAGGCAATGAAACCACCAGAGTATAAGCAATATCTATGATTTGATCACTGTTAATTTTATACATCCTTTCATATCATATTATCTCCTGCATATTTCTTGAGATATCATTTCTTTTCAACATTACATCAAATTGTTAATGGTGGTGCAATCACTATTATGTTACCAGAGGCTAAAGCAGAGAAATGTCAAGTTCAAAGTCTCCCTGGTCTATAATCTGAGTTCAAGGTCAGTCAACTTAATAAGACTGTCTCAAAAGGAAGAATAAAAAGAGGGCTGGGAATACAGCATAGGAGCAGACCATTTACCATAGTTCAATTTCCATAAATTTTCATAGTTATTTTACTAACATATATTATAACACAAAAATGTTTTTTAAATTGAGATAAATGTATTTCCATATAACTTACTTCTTTTGTAATTCAACTGCCTCATCTTATGAACTTAAGAATACAATCCCAAGATAAGGTCTACATATTTCACTAGACTTACAAGAGAGTCCATGGTACATAAAATGTGAAGAAATGTCACCAAGGAAGTTACAGAGCTCATATATCAGTGAAACAGAGGAACCCTACTGTGCTCTCAATGGGAGTATAGAAATCATTTTAGTACAAGGAGACCCTGGAATTCTAATTAAGCAACAGAGTTTAAATTGCAACAAAATCATCATTATGAAAGGAAATACATTCAAAACAAAGCAGGATATAGGGTGTGTTTGCTTTTTTAATTTTAATGGGTTTTACACATGTGTCCACTGGATTCTATCAGAAAAGGTATAACCCAAATACACTGTTATATCAACTAAAATGTTATATGAATTGGTACCTGAGATGACAGTAGATTACAATCAATGAACAGTCCTTTTCCAGTTCTGTAACGCTGTATGAGGCCAGCCATAATGGCCCCATAGGCAAAAAGGCCAGTGGCGAGATCAGTCATGGCCACTCCTGGGCGAACAGGATCTCCATCCTGATTTGAGGATTGAATGGGAAAAACAGAAATTGAATATTGATTCATTTTATATTTCTCATACATTCAGTACCTAAATAAAAGAATTATATTTGAAGCATGCGTATCTACACATGAACACACACACACACATGAATAAATGCAACAAATTAGTATTCAGGATATCAGCTGTGTATATTTTCTACTGTATTTCTCAAGAGGCATACAAGCCAACCTAAACCAAGTCAAATGAAACAAGAAAACTTTACAAACACATTTGAAATTCATTTTTAACATATTTTACTTAAATAAAAAATTAATGAATTGTTGGATTTAAATTTAAATGTTAATCTTCCAGGAAAGAGTTAAAACAGTTTTTCTCCTGTTGGATGAAATGCTGTTTTAGAAAAGAAACAGCAGAAGGAGGAGGAGGAAGAGAAGGAGGAAAAAAACCTGGTTTAATTTTCTTATAATCATGCTAATAGCTGGCAAATACCCTAATGACATATGCTTTTTAAAAAAACACATAAGGACACATATGTGTGAAAATTTCATAATGAAACTCATCACTTTAAATATTAACTTTAAAATTTAACTTTAAATTTTGATTTTAAAAGATATTAACGCATCCGCTCCCTTCTCTAGAAAGACACAAGATTGGTGGTACCAACTACACATTCCCTCCACCTAAGAACTGCCCCCTCTTCAGAGAGGGGGGTGCTAGACCCATACCAGCAACAGCACACATTACCTGAGGAAAGTCCAAAGTATTTCCACAATGATCTAGAAGATTACATGTAAAAATCCTCTAACTCTGCAAAGGGTTTGCTTCTGAACTTAGAAATTTCACTTAGCTTGAGCAGAACCAGGACTATTCCTGATATTCCATTTCATCATTTAAACTGAATTGCCTATCTTTTAAATAAGCCCCATATAATAGAATGTGGAAATAGACCTTAAAGCACTCGTTCAACAATACACAGGTGAGGTTTCCATAATAAGAAACAGTATCGAACTCCAGGTACCTAGGCCCCACTGCAAATAAACAAACATGTATAATCAAAACAATAAGTCTCTATCAAAAAATATTTTCCTATACTAATGTCCCTGAGAAAGGTTACTTAGATGATGTACAAGAGAATGGTGTCAAAATAGCAATAATAAACACTATCAAAGGACTCAAAGAGGATTTTAATAAACACCATAATGAAGATCAGAAAACCACAAAAGTTAAATGAAATTATGAAAATAATCCAAGATATAGAAACAGAGCACCACAGGGAAAAAGGAAGGTAAAAGATATTCCAATCAATGAACCAGGAAATAAGCAAGCATAATCTTCTAATATCTGACAAAACAGACTTCAAAGCAAGGCAAATCAGATGAGGAAAGGAGTAACACTATCTTCATTGAGAAAAGTCCAAGAATAGGACATAACAATGCTAAACATATATGTACCAAAAATAGTGACAATTTCATAAAAGAAACACTATTAGACTTAAAATCAAAGGAAAAAAATCCCAGAATACTAACAAATGGTGATTCAAGACCAATTTAACCAATAAATAGATTGTCTTAGTTAGGGTTTTACTGCTGTGAACACACACCATGACCAAGGCAACTCTTATAAGTACAGCATTTAATTGTTACTGGCTTGCAGGTTCAGAGGTTCAGTCCATTATCATCAAGGTGGGAACATGGTAGCATCCTGGCAGGTATAGTGCAGGAGGGGCTGAGAGTTCATTTGGAGGCTGCAAGGAAAATACCGGCTTCCAGGCAGCTAGGACAAGGGTATTAAAGCCCACGCCCACAGTGTCACACCTACTCCAACAAGGCTACACTTCCTAATAGTGCCATTCCCTTGGCCAAGCATTTACAAACCATCACAAAGGTTATCTTAAAAAAAAGAACTAAATAGACTAAAAAGACTGAAAATTAATGACATCATAAAATCATATGATATGTATATAATTTTACCCAAACACTAATGAGTACAAATTCTTCTCAGCAGCCCCTGGGACTTCCCACAAAATAAGACACAAAACAAATCTCAAAAAATGCAGGAAAAATTAAATCATATCTCTCATTGTATCTGAACACTACAGAAGACAGAAAGTACACTAATCCATGGAAGTTCAACAACACAGTACTGAGCCAAAACTGGGTATAGCAAGAAGGGTATTAACTTTTTTCTATACCTGAATGGAAATGAAAACACAATATACTAAAGTCTTTTGAGATACAATGAAAGCAGTCATAAGAGGGAATTTTATAGATCAATTTTATAGATGTATAGTTTATACATCAAAGGATTTGAGAGATCTCAAATAAATAACTTAATGATGTAGCTAAAGGCCATAGAAAAACAAAACAAGCAACATCCTAAGAAAGTAGATGAGAAGTGATAATAACAACAGAGCTGAAATTAATGAACTAGAAGTGAAAAAAATGAATGAGATAAGGAATTGGTACTCTGGAAATATAACAAGGTTGACAAGTATTTAGCCAAACTAGCAAACAGAAATAATGCAAATTAATAAAATTAGAGATGAGAGTAATATATCTTAACAGACTCCAAAAAAATTCAGAGGATTATGAGAACATACTTTAAAGTTTTTATATTCCAAAGGACTAGAAAGTCTAAAGAAATAGATAAATGTATTAAAAAGAACATGGCCCTTGGCTGAAGCAGGACCACATACATCAAGATGGCCTAAGGTGACTGCATAGGCCAGTCATATCAACACGGCCCTTGGTGGCTGCAGTTTTTTTGTGTAGGGATAGGAACCTGTTTAATTTCCCCCTTCTCAGTTAGCATGATCATTGGTGTTGCCATTTTTCTTTCTAGTCTGGTTTAGGTAGTCATATTTTGAAGTATCATGGATAGATATCCTATCATCTTAAGAAATATAATCTTACAGCAGATTTTCTGGTCCTCCACTCTTATAAAACTACCAGCCCCTCTTGTGCAACATTCCATGAGCCGTGGGCACAGGCACCCTATGAGTTGTTGTCCTCTACATTTTCACCAGTTGTGGTTTTCTGCTGCAAAGTGAAGGGGTTTTCCCCCCATGAGGAGGATGCAAGATAAATTTATCTGTAGTTGTAAAATCAAGTATTTAGAAAGCAGTTAAGAATTATTCTGATCTAAAAACTGATGATTGTATGTTCTCACCCAAGATCTATGACCTCACTAGATATGAATAGATGACTGAGTTTCAGTACCAGGCATGATTTCCTTCCCCTTGAGTGGGCCTTAAGTATAACTAGAGAGCTTTTGGTTACTACCAAGGTATGAATGCCAGCTTCAAACACTCAGAATTATCTTGCTGTGTTAGTAAATGTGCTTCAAAGAAATCCTGGCTGGGTAGGACTTTTGTTTGGTTCCTTCCCTTAGCAGGAATATAAATTGCTAAAAAAAAAATCAATAAAAATATTCCCTTGGGGGGGAAAAAGAAAAAATCTACACAGAACTAATAGCTGCTGAGAGGGGGAGAATTAGACATTCCTGAGAATGAATCTCCTCATTAGGAGATATCAAATTTCAAATTTTAGTACTGTGAAAGATAATCCTCAGACGAGCTTGAATCTTCTGAGTCCTGTGCTTGAAGTACAAGGTTTTTGTAGCAAGAGAGACTTACTTTCAACCTCTGGGAGGCAATTGTCATAACCTATGTTGGTTTTTCATTTGTCATTTGTTTTGTATGGGTAATGTTGACTCTGATATGGGAAAAGCCCATTTTAACTCTTTTTATGCATGTATAAAAATTTTCTATACTAGTGGGTTTATATGTCTTTTTAAAAAGGTCTTTAGTGATTTATCCTCCTCCGTACTCCCTCTTCTACTTTTCCCTTCTCTCAAACACCTCAGCTTAATCATTGCTTTTTCACTATCCCCCTAACAGGACTCGGAAGTGTGATTGGGGTCCATTACATAAAATTCCAAAAAAAATCAATAAAAATATTCCCTTAGGGGAAAAAAAGAAAAAATCTACACAGAACTAATAGCTGCTGAGAGGGGGAGAATTAGACATTCCTGAGAATGAATCTCCTAATTAGTTGTCCAACACCAAGTTGTAAGCCATGAAATCAAATTCACACAAACAACACTTAAGAGATCCAATGGGTTATATTTATGCATCTTATGAAGTTAACATACATAACAATTATATGTCTATAAAACAATAAAAAAGAGGACATGAATTTGAGAAGTAGTAAAATGGGTAGGTGAGGTTAGAGGGCAGGCACTTGGGAAAAGTTTCAGTGAGTAAAATGAATGGAGAAAATGAAAATTATATTTTAATTCCTAAAAAGTTCTTTTGAACTTTTAAAGGAGGACTTCACTTGTGGATAAATTATAGGCAACAATTGACATGTAGAACCCCATAAAGCTAAAAAATTTCTTCAGGACTGATGAAACAATTAAGTGAAGAGCAAGCCCACAGAGAAGGAAAAAATATTTGCCAGCTATGTATATGACAGAAGAATAATATTCAGAATATTATAAAGAACTCAAAAGAGTTTTTTTTTAAAAAAGATCCATTCAAATCCAAATGCAGAGTTCTCAAAAGAGGAATATAAATTGCTAAGAAATATTTCAAAAGATGTTCATCATCCTTAGCAATTAAAGAAATACAAATCAAAACAAATTTGAGATGTCATCTCATTGCAGTCAGAATTGACAAAGAGCAAGAAACAATCAACAAACAATGCTAGGGAGGATGTAGGGAAAGAGGAACACTCATTAACTGTTGGTAGAATTGCAAACTGGTATATCCACTCTGGAAATTAATACAAAGTAATCTCAAAAAGCTAAAAATAAATCGACCATATGACCCAGCTCTACTACTCCTTATCATGTGCTCAAAGGACTCAACAGGTACTTCAGCCAGGTTTATCATTGCTTTAATCACAATAGCTAGGAAACTGAAACAGCCCAAATGCCCTTCAACTGATGAACAAGTAATGAAAATGTGGTTCACAGACATTGTAAAATATTATTCAACCATAAGAAAAAATGA